GCCAACCAGTTTGTGATATTTTGTTTTGTTGGGTCCGTCTCAAAAAAAAAAAAAAAAAATATATATATATATATAAAAACTAGGTACTTGCTGAGAGCACATCTGGAATCACTTTATCCTGAAACTGTTGTATAATGAGGTGCTAACATGCCCAACTACGGCTTGCCTCCCCCTGAAATGTGTGTGTGTGTGTCCTGGACTTAACCCTCTTCCAGTAGCGAGTTCAAATTCCAGAACAGCTTGTCCAGGGATCATGTTGGCAGGAATGTGCTTGTCTTGGAAGCCTGTGAACCAAAATATGATCATCCTTAAGAAAAGCACATCCTGCAGATAATAGGGACTGGCTAGTTGGTGTTCTCATGTCACAAAACTGTGGGTTTCATATTCTTACTCTCTTTCCAATATCAAGTCCATATTATCTTCAGCACTGCTTGTGAAACAAAAGGCAATAAGCAAGAAGTTGTAACAAATCCTAACAAAACAGCAAACAAACCAAGATTTGAGGAGTTGCAATCTGGGAAACAGAGGGTCAATTTTTCACAACGGCATTGATGGAGCCCATGAACTTACCACAGATTTTATGGTCTGTCAATTCACAAATTTTCTGGTGAAAACAGATACCTATAACAAAAATAATAATAATTACATTGACTAATTTCCATGACAGGACATGAGTGGAATGAAAAGGGAGAAGATCTGAGTTCTACCACCAATCTGGCCACTAACCAGCAATTCAACCAGCGATAAGTCATTTCCTGTCTGGCCTCAGATGTATTCATCCATAAAATAAGAAGAATTGTCAGATAATCTCTAAAATTTTTCCAGTTTAAATATATTTTATGACAAAGTTTTTTTTACCTAACCTCAAATATGCATGCGTATGCTCATGTTATTGTTATCTCAATGTGTATGCATATGCTCATATTCATCCACACACACACACACACAGCGAGAGAGAGAGAGAGAGAGAGAGAGAGAGAGAGAGAGAGGGAGGGGGGGGGGGAGGGAGAGAGGGAGAGAGGGGGAGAGAGAATAAATCCAATCTATTGAAGATTAAACCAGGCATGAAAATCCAGATGCTGCTGTACACTTCAGAGACGATTCTTTGGTTATCGTTTCTTCCTTGTATAAACAAGGGTGTGGGGGGCTCATTGAGACAGGCCTTGAGTTCCCATCACTTACACCTTTTAGTCTCTCTCATTTCCTCTCTTCTTAACCACTGCCATACCAAAAGAGGTACAGTTTAGTGCCGAAGTTTGCAAAACTAAAAAATGATACCATTGTTTGATTCTTCATTCTTCGATGCCACTCTCAACCTTTTGTACTTGGAGAAACATAGCTATTTTCACATTTAAATGTTATTTATTTTAGTATATTATGAGTCAGTTATTACTTTTAAATATATTGACTATTTTTTTAAGGTGGAGTTTCGCTCTTGTCACCCAGGCTGAAGTGCAATGGTGTGATCTCAGCTCACTGCAACCTCCAACTCCCGGGTTCAAGTGATTCTCCTGCCTCAGCCTCCCCAGGAGCTGTGATTACAGGCGCATGCCACTACACCTGGCTAATTTTTGTATTTTTTAGTAGAGACGGGGTTTCACCATGTTGGTCAGGCTGGTCTCAAACTCCTGACCTTGTGATCCATCCGCCTTGGCCTCCCAAAGTGCTGGGATTACAGATGTGAGCCACCACACCTGACACATGGCCTAGTTTTTAAGATTTCAGTCTTAATTTCTACTATAAATATCAACAGATACAGTCCACATAAACAAAACTCTTTGTAGTCCTCAATACTTTTTAAGACTGCAAGGGGATCCTGAGACCAGAAAGTTTGGGAATTGCTGATGTTGCAGTTAACGTGACAAACTCCAGATCTAGCTGCCTGAGTTAAAATGTCACTTGTATCACTTAGGAGTGGTGTGGCACTGAGTACAGTTGCTTAGTTCTGTGCCTCAGTTGGGGATAATAACAATAATAGTACTGAACCTATAGGGTCATGATAAGGCTTAAATGAACTGATACATGTACCATGCTTAGAACTGTTGTTAGCCAACATTCTTTTTGGTGCTCTTCACCTATCTCCACTCCCCTGTGGTTTGCTCGGTTTGGTTTGATTTGGTCTGGTCTTACTACTGCTGCCTCTCCATTTGACTGGCAAAGTGTGACTGGCATTGCTTCACCAGGGGCTAAACGGCATCACTGTCCAGGCTCCTTCATAACCACAGCCACACATTCCCACTCCTGTGCTGCAGCACCCAGCTGTACTTTGAATTTGCCCTTTACAGAGGCTCCATCAGCAAAAGACAACTGGAAAATCAAAGTAAGCAATGCTAAGTTTTTTAAAAACACGCTATGTCAGATGAATTAGAATGTATAGTCAAAACTTTAGCCTTCTGAAAAAATCAATAAAAGAGAGGAAGTAGAGAGAAAATGCAAACAATTACATTCATTCCTTAAAGGAAAAGGTGGTATTTACCCAAGCTCCCTGCAATTTGAACTATGGTTTCACAACTTTCCATCTCTTTTTTAAAATCTCTCTTCAATATCCCCGAGCAGCCTCCTCCCACCTGGCCAATAACCCTCAGGCCGTTAACTTGCTTTAAAAAATATGATGGACAAGATTCTGATCACATGCACATGACTGATGGCCATTTGATCTTCCCAGGGAGTACTGAAGTTTTATGAGCATTTATGATCATAATCCCTTGCATTTATATTCATTTTCTAATTTATACTTTGACATAAATTTTTCTTTAATTCTTGGCACTCAGTGTGCTGTTATTCCATTTAACAGTTTGAAAAACTGAGGCTCAGAGAAGCTAGCAAACTTCCCCAAAGTCTCAAAACTTTGTATTGACAGAACTAAAATTGAAGCATGAATGAAATGGGAAAATTTTTAAAGACTGAAGGACTTGAGGGAAATGCACACAGCAGGGAGGGGTGAGGCATGCTGGGGGTGGGGGAGGTGAAACTAAGCTATTTCTGTCAGGGGATTACTTAAGCAAATCTGCTCTACAGTGGAAATAACCTCTACTAATTCCCCCAGAGTTTTACACAGCCTCTTTATTGCCTCCATAGCTCAAACTATACATTCTCTGAGACTCGTATTTATTTATTTTTTATACACTAATTTGTTTATACATGGATACCTTGGTGGTACTGTTCTAAGAAGGATTTTAAAGAAGGTACATATTTTATATTTAACCTATGGCTGCTTCTGAATAGACTGTTTGTAAATTGAGAACTGTCTGTATTGCATGTGTGATGTCATTAAATATATATTTGGTCTGTCCAAAACTATCTGGCATTTGTCCTTTACCAACATTACTGAGTATTTTAGTTTCTCAATCATGCGAGCTTAAAAAGCACAGCCAAATCTAATGAATGTCAAACTTGTGTAGTGACTCAAGTTGATTTCAGTATGTTTAAACAGAAAAAAAATAAGATTCACAAAGGATCAATTGGAATGAGCATTCACCTTAAAGGAATGCAAAAAGGAATCCTTTTGAACCATCCGCTCTCCTGAATATGTTTAAATTTGCATTAATTTAAGCACAACTGCTAAGGAAAAAATGTTTATTATATATGAAATATTTAGTCATTAAAAGTAATGGCAAAAACCGCAATTGACTTTTGCACCAACCTAATAACAGACACCTGGAATATGAGTGTGATGTTCTTTGTATGTAAGGATGCTAAGGCTAAGCTAACTAAAATATCTTCTTTTACCTGCTTTTTTTTCCCCCTTTGGTAATTTATCAGCCCTGTCCAATAATACTTTCTACAACAATGGAAACATCTATGTCAGTGCTATACATTTTTCAATAAAGTAATAAAATTAATTTTATTTAAGTAGTCACATGTGGCTACTGAGCAATTAAAATGTACTCCTGAAGAATTTTATTAATTTTAATTCATTTGAATAGCCAAGTGACTAGTGATTTCGTATTGAACAGAACAATTACAAGGTCTCTTTTAGTCAAAAAAAAAAAAAAAAATCCTATGATTCTATCATTCTAAAGACACCAAATTGTGAGGCCAGAATTAAGGTTGGGATTATTAAATCTCTGACCATTAATGGATGCTGAAATAAAGTTAGCTAATTGGACATACAATTTTACAGAGAATGTTTTTATTCTTAATAAACATCAAAAAACTATTATGTGCGAAATAACGTGTGGGTCAGTGGGATATATACAGACCAAGATTGAAACACGGTTCCTGATAAATCTCAATTCAGTACATGCTAACAAGACACGGCTGACCAATTGTGTAAGCTCATGCTTTTAACAAGTATTGCTTAGCTCAATAACTCCCATAACTCTAGGACAAACAACTGTCCTGAGCCCTGGGGACACGCTGTTGCCTGACAAATGCCAGCTCTTCCGGGTACCTACGCTCCTCGGAAGCACAGCCAGGTGAACAGGCCACGAGAATACAGAGTGGTCAGTACAACTAGGAGCAGACCTTGGGTGCCACATGAACAGACAAAAGAGGCTTCTAAGTCAGTCTTGGCTAGACAGGGAAGGTTTCAAGTGCAGAAAAGAAGGTTCAAGAAGAAAAAAAACAGTAGTATCTTGCTATCAAATATATTTAGGTTTCTTTTGGAAATTTCCTTTTCATTTGGCATTGTGTCATCGCCCTTTCAAGGGTATTCACTTCTTGAGTACATTTCAATCAATATATATTTATCGAACCCTGAAGACTAAAGAACCTCATCGTCATTTTCCTGGAGGATTCACCATTTGCTCGGGGCTAAAGGTCTATGAAGATAACCCTTTCTCCTGAGAAAAAAATAAGTTCTTAAGTCAAATATTTCAATAATCTACCAAGTAGGAAAAATGTAACATTGCCTTGGATGCATGTTAGACTTCCCAGTCTGGGGTCAAATTCCACTTCCTCCTCTTAAAGAACGAATAGCCTCAGGCAAGTTATCTAACTTTTCCAAGGATCAATTTTCTCATGGGTAAAAGGTAAGAATAATGGGGTAAGAACAGCCCTTACCTCAGAGTTGATTAGAGAAACGAATATGCACATATTTATAAAAGCCTTAAAATAGTGCGTCCCCTAAGCTTTATAAGAGGATTACTACTCTTTTTAATTATAATAATTCTAATTGCAGAAACCTATAAGAAAATAATACACAGTTCTGGCAGGAAGAAGTTAAAACAAATATGAAAAATAAGAGATATTCAGAAACTTCAGCAGCTCCCTTCTGTCCTATGCCTCAAGGTACCAGAGAGGGAAAAAGACCCCCCAGGAGAAGCTGTGAGGAAACCTGAACTGCAAACCCACCACGCTGTCTTTCTGGGAAAGGCAGTTGGTAAACAAACATGTGAACTCTATTTCAGGCTAGTATGTTTTTTCATTTGCTTCCAAGACTTTGATGGAATGACTTGAGAGGAAAAGTTGACAATTACTAGAATGAACCTAAAAGGACACGAGAGATGAAACGGTTGTAGTATTTTTGAAATAAATGTTTCCTTGCAAGAGCAGAGTCATAGGCGGGGTGTCTGTGTAATGTCTACTCAACACAGCGGAAGGGTAAAAGGAAATCTTGGTATTCCGATTTCTAAGTCTTAGTGGGGAACCATATGGAAGCAACTGCACGCCAAATCCCATGCTCACCGAAGCTTCAAGGATTACCTCGTGGGTCTGGGGGTTTAATCTGACAACTCCTAGTGCCCTCGGGACTTTCCGGGCACAGAGAACGGGCCGCGACTGCACCCCCTGCGTCCTTCCTGGGTAGCAGGCTTTCCACAGCTACAGTTCTCCACGTCAGCAGCCACGTACACAAGCGCAGGCAGCTGCCTACAGGGCGTGCCCGCTTCCCACCGTGCACTCTCCCAGACAGGGCATCCCTGCACCGCCCGGCGCGTTCGCGAAAACTCCGCGTGGCCTCCAGGCGCCTAACGCCTGGGGCTCTCTAGGTTTTCCACGACGCAGGCGACCGTGGCTGGCGCGCACCCGGCGGCCTCCCAGCTTGCCCAGGCTGGACTGGAGGGGGCGTTTCGGGGCCCCAGACCCCAACACATCGGGGCGGAAGGGCCCAGGTACCTGCTGGCGCCTCCGCACCTCCTCGTCCCCTCTACTCCCCTCCTGCCTCTCCCCACACCCTTCCTTCCTCATCCTACTCCTCCTCAACCTACTTCTTCTCCTCCTCCCAGCTCCCCTCAGACTAGGAGTCCGCGCGCGGGATCGGGAAGCCGCGCCGGGTGAATCACCGTCACGTGGTCGCGGGCGCGCAGAGGCGGGCTGCGCCTGGGCTGCCCTGGCGCTCGGAGCTTTAGTGGAAAATTTCCGGAGACCTACTGGGGCTGCGCGCCGCAGGCCCCGCCTCCCCGCGCCTTCGCTTCTCCCCTCCTTCGCCCCCTCCCTTCTCCTTCTCCTTCTTCTTGCCCTTCCCCAGCCGTTTTCCGGCCCCGACCGGCCCCGACATTGCGGAGGTTCCTTTCTCTCCTGGGAACGGCGCAGTGCACGCCCCGCCCATTGCAGCCCCCCAGGCTGGCGCCGCCCGAGCCGTTTGCTCTGGGGCCGCCAGCCCTCGCTTCCTTCGCGCCGCTCCAAGCCGCCACGCGGCCTTGCCCCCGACCTTGCGTGTAATCGGCTGGCATCCTGAGAGGCCAGGAGCGGCGTCCTGGCGCCTCAGCCTTAGTCTCTGGGGCGCCGCGCCCCCGCCGCCCAGCCCCGCCACCTCCGTTCCGCCTTGAGTGGGACCCCCCACACCTCCGGGGCGGAATGTGAAACAAAGGGAGAAGACGGTGACGATGGGCGTCTCGTCTTCTCATTTAAAATTACTGCACCGCCTTCTGAACAAAGCACATGCACAGCCCAATTGTGTTTTACCCACTCCCGCTTACCCGCTGAGAAAATAAGCTACTTTCCCTATCCCATAACATTCTCCACTTCGTTTTCCCAGCCACGAACAAAATTCAGCCCTGAGACAGAAACTTTGAGGAGTTCGTTGACCTCATTCATGTAGAGGTGACAAACGGTTACACAACAAAATTGTTTAACCTAAAGGGGATGTGTTGTGTGCGTGGTTCACCTCAAGAAAACACACATTTATCTGTTTCAGCAACTAGTTGGCCTTGGACTGTCAGCCAGGTTCTTGTCGTTGAATAGGGTGGGAGGTTGAAAAGTGGCATTAGCGCCACGTGTCCCAAGACGAAATGACTTGGAACCGGAAGCAGGTGACTTAATCAGTCACAAAGTGCCAAAGATGTCAGCTAAAACAGTGGGAGCTTTACTTGAGTAAAGATCTCAGAACCAAGCCCAGATATGAGATGCTTCCCATCTAAGAACCAGAATTGCAGGTATGTTAATTTTAATAAATCCTTATTTCAGTATCTTAGCCCTGGGCAAAGAAAGATCCGGAAACTAACTGAAAGCAAAGAATGTAGGTCCATCGTGGCCTATGAGTGCTTTGGGTAAATCACATTGATTCAGTCGCTGTCATTTCTCTTTAGACAAAATACAACAAGTATACAAATAAAGGTATTTTTTAATTATCCTATTTTGGGAAATTGTAAGGATCTGAAATTTTTAATTTTTTAAAACAATGGAGCACTTCAATAAAACATACGTTGTCTTTACTAAGAATATACATGGCTTGTTTTCTAGCTTAATTCTTGATTGTTGCTGTGACATTACCACGATCTGAATAACCTTAAGCATGTAGATAAGAACTCATATCTGTGATTTTGCTTTCATATTTCACTTTCCAAGACACTTATTGGTAATTAACAGGTGTCAGTTTACCTAGCCAAAGAACCATTGTCAATAAATCCCTCATCTCTCTTCCATTGTTTTCTTTCACATTCATTAGCATATACTACACCTAGTAAAATGGACCATTCCAGGGTTAAACAAAAAGGCCAGCTGTTACCTGTTGTACCTTCTTGTATCACAAGGTCATTAGTCAAGCTATTCTTTCCCCTCTTTTATTTGGGGAGGAGGTGAGAGAAACAGAGTTCTGATACTAGATCCCTAGAAAGTTCTTCAGTTTTGACAGAATTGAGTATGTTTGTGCTAAAATATCTAAAACTATCTAAATATTTTTAAATTTTGTTGTTGTCGTTGCTGTTTTGAGACGGAGTTTCGCTCTTGTCGCCCAGGCTGGGATGCAATAATGCGATCTCTGCTCACTGCCACCTCCACCTCTTGAGTTCAAGCAATTCTCCTGCCTCCACCTCCCAAATATAGCTGGGATTACAGACACCTGCCACCACGCCCAGCTAATTTTTGTATTTTTAGTAAAGACGAGATCTTGCCATCTTGGCCAGGCTGGTCTCGAACTCCTGACCTCAGGTGATTCACCCTCCTTGACCTCCCAAAGTGTTGGGATTACAGGCATGAACCACCCTGCCCAGCCATATTTCTAAATGTTTTAAACATTGAGTTTCTGCGGGTTCCTTATTTTTCTTTTTCTTGATGAAAAATGTGGTATGCATTTACAAAATACTGATGCTTGCAAATATACGGATTTACAATATAATGTATTTTTTAGGCATTACTGTGTTATCCAGTCCTGGCCAATGGGATCTGAGACAACAATAATAGCACTTCCAGGAAATGTTATCTCTCATAATAAAATTAACTTACAAGAATGACACTCCTTTCTTTTGCAATGGATGTGGTCCTGTCTGCCTATGACCCCTAAGAGCACCGCAGCCAACATGTGACCACAATGGGAGACATCCTCAGCATGTTGAAGAAGGCAAAGTCAAAAAATAATGAGCATTAGGCCGGGCGCGGTGGCTCACGCCTGTAATCCCAGCACTTTGGGAGGCCGAGGTGGGTGGATCACGAGGTCAAGAGATCGAGACCATCCTGGTCAACATGGTGAAACCCCGTCTCTACTAAAAATACGAAAATTAGCTGGGCATGGTGGCGCATGCCTGTAATCCCAGCTACTCAGGAGGCTGAGGCAGGAGAATTGCCTGAACCCAGGAGGCGGAGGTTGCGGTGAGCCGAGATCGCGCCATTGCACTCCAGCCTGGGTAACAAGAGTGAAACTCCGTCTAAAAAATAATAATAATAATAATAATAATAATGAGCATTTTGTCATGAAGGCAGGTATCAAGGCCAAGAATTAACCCCAGAACTGCACTCTCTACAGACTTCTTCTTATGTGATGTAGTGTCATTATATAAGCCACTTTGGATTGCATATTGTGTTTATTGCCATAAAAAGTTTTCTGGCTGGGCACAGTGGCTCATGCCTATAATCCAGCACTTTGAGAAACTGAGGTGGATGGATTGCTTGAGCACAGGAGTTTGAGATCAGCCTGGGCAACTTGGCTGAAACTCTGTCTCTACAAAAAATTAGCCCAGCCAGGTGTGCCCTGTGCCTGTAGTCCCAGCTCCACAGGAGACTGAGGTGGGAGGATCACCTGAACCTGGGCTCTCTGATCACGCAGCTGCATTCCAGCTTGGGTGACTGAGTGAGACCCTGTCTCAAAAAATAAAATAAAATTTTTGCTGCTGACAACCTCTCTGTGGTAGCCAGCCTCCAAGATGGCCCCTAATGATGCTTACCTTCTGGTATTCAACCCCTTGTAGGGTCCCCTTATATGTCGAATCAGAGCTTCCCTTTGCGACTGATAGAATATGGGAGAAATGATAAAGTGTGACTTCCAAGGCTAGTTCATAAAGGCATTGCAGCTTCTGCCTTGATCTCTCTTGGCTAACTTGCTCTGGGATAAGCCAGCTGCCATTTCACGAAGACATTCAGTCAGGCTTGTGTAGACACCTTCTTGGAGAGGAACCAACTGGCCAGCACTGACTTGCAAACATGTGAGTGACCTTGGAAGATCCTGCAGTCCCAGTCATGCTATCAGATAACTATAACCCTTTGACATCTGACTGCAGCCTCATAAAAGACTTCAGCCAAAACACCCAACTGAGCTGCTTTTGAATTCCTGATTCAGAGACACTTTGAGAGATAATAAATTATTGTTGCTTTCAGACACTAAGTCTTGTAATAATTTGTTACATAGTAATTGATATCTAATAGAGTATCCATCAACACCAGAAAAACATGCCAAAGTCAGCAAAGTGCTCACAGAGTACATACTATTGCTTTAGACTTGACAGCTATCTCACAAAGATTAAATAAAACCATTCAATTATCAGGCACTTTCTAAATGTGATCCCAAGAATAAAAGATACAATTGATAAGAAAAAGAAAAAAAGAGACTAGAATTTGCTCCGACACTTGGAAAGATTAATATTAAAAATATGGAAATGCAACCATGTGGATGATTCTCAAGGACATTATGCTAAGTAGAAAAATGTCATGCACAGAAAGACAAATCACATGATCTTATTTGTATGTGGAGTCTAAAACAGTCAAACTCACAGACGTAAAGAATAGAATGATGGTTACCAAAGGCTGAGGGAGTGGAGGGGAGGAGGTTTGGGGAAATGTTGGTCAAACGATAACAAAATTTCAGTTAGATAGGAGGAATAAGTTCAAGAGCTCTATTGTACAACATGGTGACTATAGTTAATAACAATATATTGTATTTTGAAAATTGCTAATAGGTTTTAACTGTTCTCACCACAAAAAATAAGTATGTGAAGCAATGCATATGTTAATTAGCTCGATTTAACCATTCCACAGTGTATATATATTTCAAAACATCTTGTTGTACATGTTAAATACAATTTTTTTTTTTTTTTTTTTTGAGACGGAGTTTCGCTCTTGTTACCCAGGCTGGAGTGCAATGGCGCGATCTCGGCTCACCGCAACCTCCGCCTCCTGGGTTCAGGCAATTCTGCCTCAGCCTCCTGAGTAGCTGGGATTACAAGCACGCGCCACCATGCCCAGCTAATTTTTTGTATTTTTAGCAGAGATGGGGTTTCACCATGTTGACCAGGATGGTCTCGATCTGTTGACCTCGTGATCCACCCACCTCGGCCTCCCAAAGTGCTGGGATTACAGGCGTGAGCCACCGCACCCGGCCGATAAATACAATTTTTATTAGTCAATTTTAAACATTCTATTATTCTCTAATCTTCACCATGGGAGGGGGAAAAATTAAGTTAAATTAAATAAATAAGAAAATATGGAAGTCATTGGAATAAGGGGAAGAGTGTGGTTTGAAGGGAGACAGAGGAAAGGAAAAGTAATTTCATTCTCTCTCCACAATGCCAGAGTTCACACTTGAATTTTGAAAAACTCTGTCCTAGGACAAAGGAGTGGGGCTGTGTACATAACAAAGGGGCATTTAATTAGGTAAAACAAAGCCATTAGAAAGCAAGCCTTGGAATTCATCCTTATGCTTGTGTC